TACAGATTTTCCATAATAACATGTTCTCCTTGTAGCCTGTTCCTCCGTACTCACTCCCTCAAGCAGACTGACTCCTACTTTGATTGGTATGTGCACATGGAGAGCGCTTCTGTGATTTAATAAGGTTATTAAAATAAGGTCATCTGTGGTTTCACACACGAATACAGCAAATCCAGGGTGGGGCATAAGTAGGTTTACAGTGGCTAGCCTGGAAAATAATACAATAATGAATAAATAATAATACAAGAATGAACTCTGTTTGGGGTACTCGCAACTATAAACCTCCTTTTGCCCCACCCTGTCTATTTTAATAGGCAGAGGTTTCATTTTTCCAATTGCCCCTTTAAAGGGAAATACTCACACTCAATGATTGTGCTGACACCTAAAGTGGACACATCTACGATTTGAAAATGGAACAGCAAGTGGAAATCGGTGCAAGGCAAAGGACCCAGGCAGTGCCCCGCCCGACACTGACCGGGCCATGAAGCGCGCCCCTCCCTGATCTGGTAACTGCCACGGAGAAGCCAAACGCAGAGTCAATCTGCGAAAACCTAATCCTCCAGAAGGCAGATTAAGCATATAATTGACCTATATAATCCATGTATCATCTCCAGGCAAATGTTCCGGGCCCGGTGCAGGAGCCAGTGCGGTGCGCGCTACCCGGTGTGGATCCCATCCAAGTGGGGATGGCTTTTAATCACTCATCTCCGAGCCTGGGAGGGTTAAGCAGATGAATTCGCCCTAAGCATTAAAATCTCTTTTAATCCTGATTTTCTTCTCAGTCTGTGTCTTCAAGAAGTACAAGAAGGAAAGAAAAGAAATTAATTTTTGTTTAGACCTTGAAATCTTAGGTGCTTCTCTTGATGATCTGATCTCTAATTTCAAGAAGCATGTTTCTGTTTTGGGGAAGATGTTGAATTAATCACCAGAGAAGGGGAAGAGCCATCTGCATGATTTATGGACACTCGAGCTTTTAAATCGCTGCCTTTGACTTATTTCTTGGGCTGTGCGATTCTTCTCATTTGCTGCTGTAGGAAGATGGAGATGATTTCATATCCATGTTTTATATTTTCTTTAAAAGTCAGCAATAATTTTCAAGGAGGCCAGGTTTCCCCTTGAGTCTGACAGCAATCTGATTCTCTTAAAAATTCAGTATCTTTAATAAAATTTAAATTCATTGCTATTGTACATATTCTCTTGCCTTTGTTTCAAAATTCTGTAAACTGTTACCTTGCAGTAACCGAAACCAGTTTACAATTGCATGTCTTTTTTTAGAAAAAAAAAAAAGACAAAAAAGACAAAACGCAGATAAAAATGTACAGCTGCATATCTGAAATACTATGCAAAGCCGTCTGAGGGCTCTGTTCCAATCAGCACTTAATTTTGGACAGTTAGGGGCATTATCAAAAAAGTTGAAGGTATTTTATAGGCCTCTGTAAATCAATTATATTAACACACAGGCAATCTTTCACTGCATTAAAAAGACCTGGTTAGGCAACGTTATGTCTGAATATATTTTTCCAATAAATCTAGAGAATGCTTGCTTAAAAAAAAAAAACCGGTGAAGATGAATTTAGAAAGCTGTTCTTACGTTACATAATAAAATAGATAAAAATGCAGAACATCAAATATAGAGCCCCAAATGCTATGCCGATAATCCCCCACAAGCACCCAGTTCCAGCCAAAAGTACATGACGAGGCAGAGAGAAAACCAGCTCCGAGAGAGCACTGAAATGAAGGCCTGGCTGACACGGAAGAGGCACACATTCAATGACCAGCTATTAGTCCAAATATTCCCAGATATGAACCCACACCAATGCCACCCAGCCTTCCCGACAAGGCACTCTCAAAATGCCAAAGAGGGGGCTCATACTAAATAGCAAGAACTTAAAGGACTTATCAGGTAAATAAAACCAAGACTTAGAAACACAGCTAAAAACACAACAGGATCCCTGAGAACGTGCCTGGGAGTGACAGATGCCAACAGGAACTAACCACCAGAGAATGCCACAACAGTCAGAACCAACAGCCCCCAAACAGCAAACAATCCCAGAGATATAGATCCCCCCATTCAAAATGCTAATTGTCTATTATTCATTTGTGCCATTTGTCAAAAGGCAACAATTTGGAAGAGAAACCTCTCAGATCGACGTTTTTCTCAATGGGTTTCTGCCAATTGTTTAGAAACCTGCCCCAGGACCCCTGTCGGGAGGAAAGCCGTGGCAAGGGCAGGTCGCTGCTGCAGGAATTTAGGGTGGCAGGTTTCACAGACCTCTGCCTTCCCCTTCCTGTCCCCTTGCTCAGCTCGGTGGACACCAGGGCCCTGCAGCGCAGATATGCAAAGAAATAAACACCATGCTTGAGGAAACAGAAGCCGAAAATAATCAAACATGTTGGTAATCTGATGTTTTGCTGCTAGATTATAGAAAAACAGTAAGTCCTGAATTAAATTACCGACATGGCATGGTAATGAAGCTTCTTGAGCAACTTGGGTTTTTTAAACGACAAATGTTTCAAATCCACGACAGTCAGTAACTTTTCTGTGCTTCCTCAGAGTGAGGCTGCCTGGCCCCAATGTTCTGGGAGTTCGGGGAGCAGGTTATTTGAAAAGTAAGGAAGTCAATGGCAAAGAGATTTCTCTCGAAAGAAGCTGCTGATGTTCAGGGAATGACTGTGATGGTGAGGTCTGGAAAATGCGATCCTCGGGGGGCTGGAACTAAGACACCCTCAGGAAAACAGAACCGGCACAATCCAAGACTAAATTGTGGGGGTTCTCGCCACGTTGCTGAGGCCATTTCACGCTGGTCAGCGTGGAATTCCCCAAGGGACCGGAATATTTGTGAATTTTCGCATCGCCTTAAACATAATTTGCTTTCTGAAAAACATATTCATTTTTGTTTTTCATTATTCATTTTTCTTTTCAGTATTCATTCACACGAAAGGCCCGAGGGCTTGAGTTTGCCTGCGTTCTTCAGTAGTCGGACGAGTCTGCTTTTGCCATCTGTGCGAGCCAAGCCTGGACTCTTACTTTTCAAATAATTCAGCTGCACTTTCCCTTTAAAGAGGTCACAGAAGAGGACAACCTGCCTTAAAAAAACGTCCCCTTGCCCTTCTCATTAAACAGACAGAGAGGGCAGCGCGGGGCATTTGCTAATGGAGCAGCAGGCGAAACCGCAGATGAAACATCAGATTCAGCGCCAGTTGTTTTAAAGTTTGCGAGAGCATGAGGTTATTCGCATACACGCTCACACAGGAACACGCACGCACGCACACGCACGCAAAGGCCACACAAAAGTGAGAATCAGAAGATACTGATCAAAGGGGGGAAAGGCAACCTAGGCATTGAAAAGAACAATCCACAGGCTTCTGGGAAATGGGTGGTTTGGAATTTAATTCAGTGGAGATGGGCGGTGTGTCCACACGCCTAACCGCAGACCCGAGGGTGCTGCCGGCATGTTTTCAATGCCTATGGGGTGGGGGACCGTCCCCCCGGGCATTCTGGGCTCGGGCCTGTCATAGAGGCAGCATGCAGACAGGGGGAGGGCCCGCCGAGAGCTCAGTGCAGGTATGAGGCATTCTCAGTGGGTGCGGGTCATGCTAGAAGATGTACACAGGAAGATTATTTGATTCTGATTCATGCCACTTGGTGTAATGTGATAAAACATTTGACATGAGAGATAAGTTCCATTTTAACCCGAGAGGGGACGGGTGGGAATTAAAAGTAAGAAGGGTTTCTCAGAGAAAGGAGATGCGGAGGAAGGAGCGATATTGAGCACAGAAAGCGGATGATGGGGAAAGAAAGAAAGAAAGGGGCCTTTTCAACACACGAGGAAAGCAAATGAGCTGGAAGACAAGGCATATAAAAGTCAGGAGCTGCAATTCCCTCAGCGGTGCCAACAATGAGCTCACTGAGCTGCGGAACAAAAACACACACACACACAAACGCAGTGTAAACGGAACACAATCACAGGGAAATATAGAAACACGGATCCCATTGTAGACCAAAACATTAATGTTCGGGCTGGCACCGAAAACACGGGAACCTGGACAGGAGGAACTCACGCTGCACGAGACAGAAGTAGGCGGCACGGTTAGAGCCACACGAGACAAGGGCGGCCGCGTCCCTGCACTCTGGCCGGGGCTACACTGGCAAAGGCGGTGGAAACTCGAAGCAAAATATCTGGCTAGATCAGACAGCCCCGGCTGCTTTGGCCTGAAAGAGGTGGGCGATTGGAGACCAAAGCAGATTCCTTTTTCCTTTTGGCTCAGTGGCTGGCTTTGGGAGTGCAGACACAGTGCCGGTGGAAGTGAGAGCGCGAGGCCCCTGTGAGCCGTCGGAAATCTGTGTGTCCAAAGCTCAGTCTGGGTCGGCAGCCTGATGTGGGTGCTCTTTGTGCATTTGCTCTTTGTCCCAAATTTTCAAGTGGGAGGGTGGGCAGGGGGCACCTTGGCTTAGAGCGGCAACTGACTGAGCAGCTCCAACATAAGCGTTTGCCAAAACCCAGGGCTAAGTAAGGTTCTCTGGTCTCCCAGAAACGAATCCTTTTTGAAGCGGTAACAATGCCACAGTTAGGCACATCTGCACGCCACAGCTGGTGTCCGGGAGGGTCCGCCCCCAGGAGGGGAGCTGGCTCCGCCTCCCCACGAGAATATTCCCTAAAGCAAGGCCAGATTGCAAGGAGGAGAGCCATGACCAGGAAAGGTCTTTGCCAGTTAGGGAAAGCTGCCCCCAAGCGTCCTGCAGGACGGAGCCTGCTGGCCGAGAGGCTGTGCGCAGTCCTGCGTGCCACACAAATGGGGGCTGAGACGCGCCACACCAGGGTGGGCTCAGAACAGACACACGACAGATAGGAGCCTAAGGCAGAGGGAGAGGAAAAGATTTTGTTTGAGTCGGGACCAACCCATGTTCTCAAAATGTGACTTATCCTCCTGTCTCTTATTTTGTCACATTTTGGAGGGTCTCCTCCTTGGTCTGCAAGGAGGAGAAGGCATTTACTTACATCAAATAACCTTTCTATGTACATCTCCTCATTGACCTTATCACGAAGGACATCCTGAGAGTGGCGGACGAAAGTCACGTAGGCATCGGCCACGTCCATCCCGGGTTTCTGCAAAGAAACAGGAGAACATGAACATGGAATTCACCCCTGCATTTTCCTCTCTCCTCCCCCCTCCCTCTTGCGGGAGTTCCAAGCTCTCCATGGTGTATGTCACAGCTGTTCACAGCCCGGACTGGTCAGAATGGGTATTTGAGCCTTCTGCACTTTCTGGAAATCACACCTGGCTAAAAAGGGAGTTGGGATTACAGGGTTTTATACATATTTTTCTACTATTAATTTTTTTCCTGGCAAAGATACTCTAATGAATAAATATTCACTGGGTAAGCCAGAGACATTACCTGGCTTTTTTTTGGGGGGGGGGAATTGAACCCTCTTCCCCTTTAAAAAATACCCACATATACTCTGTCTTCCATGGTCTCTTCTTACTGTAACATCAGAAAGGTGACAGCCTTCCCGCCCCCTTTCCTTTTAAAAACATTAAGAAAGTGCTAAGTAAAGAAATCAGAGTTTAATCTATACCCCTTCCACCCATCCAAGTCACATTTGGGGGTAATTTAACCGGAGTATGTAGTATTTCCTCATCAGTTTACTCAGGAGACATTCAATCATTTGTCTTTGCTCCTGGGTGCAGCTTATAGTCCAAGGATTTAAAAAAAAAAAAAAAAGGGCAGGGGCAAAGGATTTGATTTTTAAATAAATTAGATTTTCTGGAAAGGTAAGCAGGTGGTTCATACAGTACAGTATAGGAAATGATTTATTGTAAGAAAAAAAAGAAACTCAGAATGCACACCGCTTGACATGTCGTAATCAAAGTTATCTCCAAAGAAACCTATTAAAACACTGTAATATGGGTCATTAGGAGAGCTGCCACAAACCCCTTAAATTTCCACAGCAGATATGTATGTTTGCTAATAACTAAAAAGATTAGCTTTCATTACTGTGATTTACCTTAGATCACAAAGTATCATTTCCCTACAAGACGGGACTGTCAAGCACTGCAAATTGAAGTTAGTTAACACTTCTGTGTAATTTCCAGGGTGAAAATGAGGAAGGTTTGGAAACAGTAGGACTGTATTTTTTTTCAAATACAAAGCAAACAATTATCAAGCAAAGGGCCAATGCTTGGCCCCTGGGATGCTAGTAACATTTCTTAACACCTGCTGAAACAATGACAAGGTATTAATTTGAAAAACAATGAAGACAACCCAAAGCCACAGCAGTCAACTGTTACACTTTCAAGCAATTTTCATGGGATGGATTGAGCAGGTTCTGTGACGGGCCTATAATTGCGGCAGTTTCATGATAGCAAACAATAGAGGTCTCCAATGAGATGGAAGTGATAGCTCTCCGTTCTCAAGGCACCTCTCCCCTCCTCTCCCTGTGGCAGTATCAAAAGGCATCTCCGTGGGTATAGGGACCCCTACCTGGGGGATCTGAGAAACTTATTATTACTGTTTCCATTCTTTTCCTGGTGCTGCTAGTGGCAGACATGGCCTTTTCCAGGACACATGCAGCCACAGTAGAGCTAAGACCCAAAGCCACAGCCTGAAGACAGATTAGTGACCCTCAGTGATAGAAACAGCGATCCACAGTAATTGGTATTTTCACCACATTTGTTATCATCAAAGGGGCGTTTAAGTTTTAAAAAGTTTGATTAGCCCTAACCGGTTTTGCTCAGTGGATAGAGCATCGGCTTGCAGACTCAAGGGTCCCAGGTTCGATTCCGGTCAAGGGCATGTACCTTGGTTACGGGCACATACCCACTAGGGAGTGTGCAGGAGGCAGCTGATCGATGTTTCTCTCTCATCGATGTTTCTAACTCTCTATCCCTCTCCCTTCCTCTCTGTAAAAAAATCAATAAAATATATTAAAAAAAATTTTTTTTAAATAAAAAGTTTGATTAAAAAACCCCACACAGGATGATTATCTCCCCAGGTAGTTAAGAAACTCCATAATTCTCTATTTCTTGACTGTGTTTAGTTGTCCTTCATAGCACTTACCAATATCTGACATTGTACTATGTATCTAGTTACTGTCTTGTGCCTGTCTTGGACAACTAGAACCTAAACTCCATGACTACAGGGACTTTATTTGCTCTATTTTCTACTGAATCCTCAGCACATAGTTGGATGCCTGGCACACAGTAGGTGCTTGGTAAATGTTTGCTGAATGAACAAATCCATGAATAAATAAGTCCCTCCCACCTCCTTTCCAAAGCTCTCAGTCTCTCTACGGCAGGTCCTCCACTAACATTGTTTCTTTCCATGTCTTTCTGTTATAACGGTGACAAGATGCTCCAGGAACTTGACTCTTGTTGATGTCCATCAGCCATGCTAAAATCGGTTTTGTTAGTTGTCATTTTACTTAAAGTCACAGTTTCCAAGAACCTATTGATGACGTTAAGTGAGGGCTTTTTATTGGACCCCCCACAAATGGAAACTTGTGAAAATCATTTAAATTTCTCCGGGCCTTAGTTATACCATCTGTAAAACGGGATTAAAACTCCCTACTTATCTTAAACATTATTATGATTATCAGCTAAAATAAAGTATGTTCAAGTGCTTTAAAAGCCATATATTACTATATAAACATCGAGCCCCCGAATGTTATATTATTTCATAGCCTTACCTACCTTTATAATCTACTTTGGAACCAAGAAGAAGAAAAAGGGGCCTCAGAGAAACCACCATCAAAATAAAAATGACAAAATCTCTGCAGGAAAATGTGTAGTTTTCTTTTAATAGAGTCCTCAGGCCCCCACTCACAACCATCTTCCTTTCTAACCAGCTTTCCTTTCCATCCCGTTGGTGGCCAGCAAGGGGTGAGTTGGTAATAGAGAACTACTGCTTTCCCTGGTGCCCTGTATGGGGGAAAAGGCTGCCAAACGGTAGCTCCACACATGTAGGGTCACCACCAGCTGGGGTCTGGGAGAGGCAAGCTACCCTACCCCTCGGGGGCCCTGGGGGTCACAGTCACCGTGGTGATCCTCTGTCATGGAGGAAGTGTTGAAGTATGGCCAGTTCCCTATTTAAAACGGCAGGGGAGGATGCGTAATGCATTTTAAGTAGATTTCCAACCAAATGGTTAAAATCAAAACTGTTTACACACAAACAAGCTAACTTGTAATTATAGATGGAAATTTCTCTTGGCTAAACAAACGATGCTATTAGAGAAATTAGGCTTGATACCACATTGCTATCTACAAACAGTGGGGAAAACGCTAGGCAATGGTTTTAATACCCCACAATTACAGTGCTTATTTTAAACGTGGCTTGGACATGAAATAAACAACAAATACATTCATCTCTGTGTAGTTAACTCCATCCACGTGTGGAAGATATCATTGCGAAGGATCCACTCTGTGGCTTAGAAAAATAAGGCATTTAAATCAGAATTTATTCCTACCAGGATACTTGTGAGTTTGAGAAAACAAATTCAGATTTTCAGGACCCTTAGCAAGCCCTAGTTGGGAATGCAAACCTGCTACGTATACCATGTTCTAATACTTCGTCTAAGACAAAGAGATGCTTTGGGATTTATGCCACGTTTTCAATGACTGGCAATAATGCTTCTCTCCATTAATGTGGATAATTAAGAGACAGGTCTCTAAGGTAACTAACTACTAATTCCCACATAGAACTAAACCAGCGAACCACGTGCCAACCTCACAGAGCAACACAAATGAACTCAGTCTTCAGAGCTAGAAACAACTTGAAAGATGATTTTATCCAATAGTTGTTAAGCCGGCTACAGATGATAAGGACCTGGGAGCTTTAAAAACACCGATGCCTAGACTCCACACCCCAGAGATGGTTTTAATTTGGCAAGCGACCTGGCACTAATGGGTGTAAAAAGCTCCCCAGGTGTTTTCAATACATAGGCAAGGTGGCGAATCACTGATGGAGCCCATTGGTTCCCAAACTTGGACCTGCCTATCAGAATCACGTGGAGAGCTTGAGGAAGAGACTTCCAGGCTCCATCCCAGAACCACTGAGTCAGCATCTCTGGAGACGAGGGGCTAGAGATCTCTATTAGAAAACAAAACAAGACAAGACCAAAATCCTTGCCAAGTATTAGTGCTGCACATTCTGGTTTGGGGACCACCAATTCAATAGGCAATGGCCGCTGGTGTGCTGGTAAACTGGCTCTTTAAAACAACAAACCAAACAACACAAACAGCCGACCTTGATTTGTAGTGCTTGCCAATTTCCATGGTGTAAATACTCTCCCCATGGCCCAGTTGGTGCTGCTAATGTGCCCTCATCGAAGACAGAGTTGGAAAGAAACGCACACAGTTGGCTCTTTCATGGGAGCCAGTGCCAGCAGGCTCCCTCCACTTAGTCAAAGGGCGAGCACCTGACCGTTCACGCTCCTGCTTACTGGCCGGGAGGCCCTGGGCATGCAACTAACCTCCCTCCTCTCCTCAGCTATGGAACAGGATGAAAACATCACCCCTCGGAGGGTGGTTTTGAGAAGTAAATGATTACTGTTATTCACTACATGTAAACAATGGACATATAGAATATGTCTTCTATACACTGTTATTTTCTCTAAAATTGTTTATCAAAACATTACTTATACTATTATTGCTATACAATTATTGTAATACTATTGTTACTATATTATGGTAATTTACACTATCACTATAATAGTATTTGCTATAAAGCACACTTTAATCAACTTAATTTTAAAGTTTATCTTTTTTTCTAAGCCATAATAATTGGTAAAATCATGATTTGTAGTTTTTCCAATACTGAAGTACAGTAATTACTCAATTAACCAAATAAAGATGTTCATCTGCCCACTCACTGAAACCAGCTGGCAGGTGCACGGTGTTGAGAGCACTGCTGGAAATTTCAGCTCCCCCACTTAGCAGCTGTGGGACCCCAAGGACGGGAGCCTCTCTGGGCCTCAGTTTCCTCATCTGTAGACTGGGGTTGTTATCAAGATTAAAAGTAAAGTGCGTTGAAGGGTGCCCAGCGCAGAGTGGGTGCTTTAAAAGGTTTGGCTGCAGTTGTCATCATCATTGGGAAGCGTGCCACATTTGGGGACGTGCTGCTTCATTTTCTAATGCCTCCCTAGAGGGCGGAGACTCGGCTAATTCTTTTGGTTCCCCCAGAGCCCAGGGAGGCTTCTGCTGTAGCATAACCCATCCCTGGACATGGGATGGCTACAGAGCAGGGCACTTTTGCTGTGCATTTTCCCTCAACTTTACCGTCAGTCTGAACCACAGGAAATCGCCAGTTTTTGACTTTTCTGACCTCCCCCAAATGTCAATTTGAGTTGCCCGACCAAATTTCTCTGCGTATTTGGGCCTTGCCTACTCCTCACCTGTTCTACCCTCACTGGTGTGATCTTCCCTCTTCTTTGAGGCCGACAGAAAACAAACCTCAGCCACCAGATCTTTGAGTCACACGCCGAGAATTCCAGTTTCTATTACTGTTGAAGACCATGGCAGGCCAGAGCTACAGTCAGCAAATCCAGCCCCCACTCCCACCCTCCCGCACTGGATTGTGGGCCTCACACGCCCACCCCCACCACGTGCCCTGCTCCTGCAGCTGAAATGTCTGATGAGGGCCAGGCCTGGTGCCCAGGGTCCCACACACGTGTGCCATTTAAGCTGCACAGCAGACCCGTGTCCTGAGTACTACTATCCCTATTTTAAGGATGGAGAAACAGGCCCAGAGAATGTGAGTCGTTTGCTCCCTGTGAACTGAAAGCTTATAGTTTGGGGCTAGGGAAAATAAATTGCTTAGCGTTTCTCTCCCTCATTGTAAGGATTATCTCTGTGAAGGAGCCTGAGGTCCCTCGATGAGAAATATTATATAAATTCAAAGCACAATTATTGATTGTACATTCTTTCATTAAACAAACAATATATGCTAATGCCAAATTCACTCCAATTTTCCATTTTGCCTTCCTGTGAGAAATAAGCCAATAAACCATTACACACTCAACTTCCTGGGGAAATGAATTTAAATGTTAATATAAATCCCTTTAGAGAAACACAAATTTTAACAAAGAAGTATTTGAACAAGGAGGGCACTTAACCACGTTCAGAATGAGAAACATTCAGTCCGAGACCCTTGGTGGCTGTTGAGATAAGCTCTCTAAATTTAATATTTTATAAGAGACTCCCACCTCTTTTGTTAGAAACAGAGATGCAGAATCACTTGCCTTCCCCTTCATTGGCATATGCTGAAATCTCGGCAATTTTATTTTGCTAATAGGCAGGGCAGAGTCCGCCTACAAACGTGTCCTGTTCATCACAGGTAATCCCACGCGCTCGCCTCCATGTGCGTACTTAACCTCAATTTAAATGTAAATCCTGGGCACCTTCAAGTGCTTCGGCTGTGAACTTGGAGAGCTCTCTTCATTAACGAGGTCTGCACTAATCACACACAGTTTGGGAAGGTTTCCTTAAAACAATTGCAGCCTTGACCCCAAAATGAACAAATTCAGAATTTATTTGTTTTCAAAACATACCGGCACCCTGTGCACGTTTCTAGGTCATGACTCTACTTCCAAGGGGCGCGTGCAGCGGGGAGGTGAGTGGCCACAGACTGAAATATGTCAGAGAAACTAATGAAAATAAAAACGAGAGCAAACTGGGGTTACCCTCAAACAGGACCCGTCTCCCTGATGAAAGAAGCCGTGCCCTCTTCTCATCTGATACAGTTTTACCAGGAAATGTCCGTGGCCTCCCCGCTCTGGTGATTCAATTCAGGAAGATACACAATTTAGCAGCGACTAATGAAAACAGCACCATCAAACTTCTCATAAAAGCAAAGCAAAACAAGACAAAACCCCGCAAGTAAACAAACAAACAAAAAACCCACCAAACCCACCAAGGCAATTTGCATATACTCACAGGTACATCCACATACTTGGAAGCTGCCTTCACCTAAGAAGGAAAGAAGAGGAAGGGAGTGAGGCTGGTGTTTATGTTTAATTGTTCACAGCTCAATGCTGAATCCCCATCAGAGTTACAACAATACGCTGGCACCTGGAGCTGGCCAGGAAACATGGGAAGGTACGAAAAAATAAAATCTGTTTGCTATTTTCCCCCAAGCCATAGCTATTTATTGCTTGAGAGAGAGAAAGTGTGTGTGTGTGTGTGTGTGTGTGTGTGTGTGGTGTGTGAGACAGAGAGAGAAGAAGGAGGAAAAGAAGCGGGAAAAGGAGGGGGAGGAGGAGGAGGGGAGGGAGGGAGGGAGGAAGGAAGGAAGGAAGGAAGGAAGGAAGGAAGGAAGGAAGGAAGGAAGGAAGGAAGGAAGGAAGGAAGGAAGGGAGAAGGAGAGTAAGGGAACAGAAAGAGAGAAAGAGAGTGAAGTTTTTCTGACTGAGATTCTGTAGCTGGGGTGGGAGCTTTGCATTTTCCTCCCTCCCTTTAAAAGGGAGAAAAATGACTGTAGCTAAACTCCGGCTGATGAGTGGAGGGCTCCCCAGTCTAGAAAAGCACCTAAGGCCGGTGTCAGTCTTTGGCTTTGTGTAATTTGGCTGCAGGTTTGTCTGAATTGAACCCTTCCGTTCTCAGCTTCAATGAACTCTCCTCAAGAAGAGGGATGTGGTGGGTGGGCGTCCTTCGCCCAGAGGGAAGTGGGTGTCTGCGGGTGGGTGTTAGAAGGGGTACCAGAGCCTTCCAAACCTGTCCCAAGGGTGCTGTTGTGTCTCTTGGATTTAAATACTAGAAAACCCAGAAGGACGTGCAGGAAGTGGCTATGAAATTTATTTTCAGTTTTTGGAGAGGTAGTCTGGCAGAGTAGAGTGTTTGAGAGCATGGTGTTCAGAGTCAGAGCAGGTTCAAATTCTACCTTTTCAACTTACTAGCTGTGTGACCTTGGGCAAGTTACTTCATCTCTCTGAGGCTTAGTCGCATCATTGCGAAATGGAGATCCTACTAGAGCCTGCTTCAGCTGTCTCCATAAGTGTGAATACACACAGAGTCCTGGGACATAGTAAGCATGCAACAAATAGTAGCTAAGATGTGAAATTTCTAAGCAAACCTGGGTCAATCAACAGTGGGGTTTGAGGAATAACATCTATGGGAGTCCAGTTGCTATTCTATGTGCCTCATTCTGACTTGCATTTGGTCACACATGCTCCTCTAGGCTCAGGTAAGACTAAGGGGCTGTATTTGGGGTCAGCGAGGGTTTACAGTGTTATGGGCGACCACAAAGGCTGCGATGCACACACAGCAGTTAGGGTGTCTTTTCCCCTCTCAGGTAGGCTTCCCCTTGACATTGGGCTGTGATCCATATCGGAAATCACAACCTCCACCCACATCAAAGTACCCGGGGGAGGATACCTGCCTTTTTCCCAGAGATACTTCACAAAATGTCACCTCCCAGGGGCGAGAAGCCAATGAACCAACGTGTGTGGTGGAAGGAGCCTAGGGTTTAGAGTCAGAAGTTCCATAAGTGACAGGACCAGCTGGCCCTGGGATAATCACTTCTATGTCTTAGTCTTGGTTCCTAGATTTCTACAACAGGATGCTAATACTGTGCACTTTGTAGGGTTGAGAGCCTGATCAGGTGAAAAAAATATTAGGAAGTGCTTCGTAAACATTAAAGGGCTGAGCACACATCGGTTCATCATTGAGAGAGCGAAGCACCCATCTTCCAGAGCCACGCCAGCACCCAAGACGATCCGCAGGCCCCCGTCTAACCAATTCTCCCGCACCCCACACTTTTCCTTTGCCGCCCTGATGGCCACGCAGGCCAGGCACTTTTGTGCCATGTCTGTCTCTCATAGATTGGCATGTCTCACTCATGCCTATCTTCCCAGCGACTCACTTGGAACCTGTCTTAGAAAAGGCACTTGGGGAAAATTTGTAGCAGGAAGGAAGGAGAGAAGGCTAGCGAGCAGTTCTGGCTTCAGGGTGGTTGAGGAACAGCAGAGGAATGACCAGATCAAGAAGCCACTGAAAGCCGACATATATATATATATGCTAAGTGTCTGTTTGACCGGTTGCTATGACATGCACTGACCATCAGGGGACAGACACTCAACTCAGGAGCTGCCGTGACATGCACTGGCCATTTACAGAGAAATGGCACTGCGGACCTGGTGCTGACAAAGCAACACTTGGCTTACCCCAAGTGGGGTACAGGCCCCACCACCACCCAGGAACAACACCCCACCGAATCGCAGCTGAGACCCCATGGCATAAAATGCTGACCACAGCCCAGCCCAGCCTGGAAACGGTGGCTGTGGGTGCCGGGTAATGACATCACGTAGCAACGCCTGGCTTGCTCTCCCTAGCAACTAGCCTACTTGGAGTTTCTTCAGCCTAGGAACAGGACTTGCTTTATAGCCAGGTGGAAAAATTTTACACTTTAACCAAATGTCTGTGAAGCGTTTTCACATGCCTCATCTCATTTGATCCTCACAGAAGTCCTGGAGTAGGTAGATAGGAGACTCGGTGGAATCCTATTTTCTTTTCATTAGCAAGACAACAGAGATTTAGAAAGCTTAGAAACTTGACCTGACTGAAGAGAAGTAAGAAATGGTCGAACTTAAAAATGACTTCAGGTTTTCTCACTGAGCAGAATATAGTCAAACACTACTGCAGTTAAATATTTTACCCTTTGTTCTCCCTGTGTGACCTACAATAAGAATCTGCTTCGTGTTGATATTTACTGCTGTGTTACTGACAATTACCTGAAAGAGAAGTTGGGGTGTTTCACTGGGCTGGAAAAAGTTTATCTACATGAGAAAGCAGGTCTAATTAAGCAAGTTTATTCTATATCTATAAAAGGTTAAGTTGACTCACACATGCACAAAACATATAAAACTCTTACTGGTGCCAATCACATGTGTGTGTTTTGATCTGTCATGTCGATCATGAATTTGGTTGACACTTCTATTATAGAGAAAGGGCAAATAGAGATATTAAAATATTTCTTCTAATTTTCTTTCAATGTGCACGAATTTGTGCACCGGGACACTAGTGTTTCTATATAAAGCTGGCCACCTGCAAAGCTGGTGGGAGAAGCAAACTGCTCTGGACCATTAAAAGCTTTGAGGAAAGTGTTCCCAATTTTGCACAAATAATACTTATATTAAATTATTCAAACCCCAAATCATTCCTCTCCATTCCTGTTCCAGATTTTAGTTTGGGCAAAAAGGTAGCTTTCCTTTCTTCCAAGTCCTCCCCATTTAAAATAACATCTAACACTTTTAGGATGTTTTTCACTTTGCAAAGAGCTTTTATATGCAGATACTTTTAAAAATATTATTTTGTTGTTAATCCTCACCCAAGGATACTTTTTCCATTGATTTTTAAAGAGAGTGGAAGGGAGTGAAGGGGATTAGAGAGAGAGAAATATCTGTGAGAGAGACACATTGATTGGTTGCCTCCTGCACATGCCCTGACCTGGGCCAGAGATTGAGCCTGCAACCAAGGTACACGCTCTTGACAGGAATCAAACCCGAGACCCTTCAGTCTGCAGGCTGACACTGTAACCACTGAGCAAACTGGCTAGGGCTGTACAGTTTCTTCTTTAAGCCACCCTGTAAAGTGGGGGCTGTGAATCATATCTATTTATGACTGAGAACACAAAAAACCCATAGAACTTAAGAATTTATTTGCTAATGACCTCAGCCAGGAGGTGGAGAAGCCAGGAGCCCTGAGCCCCAATTTTCCCTTTGGAACTCCTGATCTCCTCACCAATGACAGAATCGGGCAGGGAATTCAAGCATCAGTGGTCAGAGCAGGTGCTGGCAAAATAATGGCTCAGTGGGAAATGGCCTCCTTTGCTCCATAGAGTTGGTGCTTGGCAGTTGGTAGGAGTTTTGCTGCAGCTGAAATAATCAACCTTTAAACACGCCTACTCTCCATTTACCACTAACATGCCGTTCCAATCCGGAGAATGACACCAGTCAGATCCTGCTTCTTCCCAGGCAGTTCGGGAAGACGGAGCAAGCTCTGTGCAACTAACTAAAGCTGTCCGCTCAGCTACGGGCACCGCCTTCAGTTCCCGAGGCTTGTTTTTCTCTCTGATAACCGCTGACTTGCATGGGGTCTTATCGATCTTCCTCCAGTCCCATAACAACAGGAAAAACTGGCTCAGAGTAAATTGTGGTCCTATTATTGTTAGAAACATGTGGTGGGCCATTTTTAGTTCTGGGCATTGAGCTTGAAGAAGGATGTTGATAAGGGTACAGGGGAGTCTGGAAGGGTCTGTGTAAGGGAGTGCAAGCAGAGGCATCTTGCAGCAAAAGGGTAAAGGCAAAGAAAACCATAGTCTTCTTGTAGTGACGCAAGAGCTGCAATGCAGGTGGAGTGTTGTCCACGGTCCTTCTAGCGCATAGCATCCAGATGATGAGTGAAATGACAGGGCCCCGAAGAAGGTGCGGACACCTATCTCAGTCCAGCCGAGTGCAGGTCAGAAATCTGCTCTGTGGGTAGCTCCGGCCGAGGCCATGGGATGCTCTGGGTGCGAGCCCAGACCTCCGTGCGAGGCTCCCTCCATGGCTGCGTCCTGTTCTCTCATGCTCATCTCCTTGAGCGGCAGGCAGCTGCCACCAGCTCGTTTTCACAGCAGACGTGGTGAGACACAGCAGAGCGGGCACCGGCAGAAGCAGGGTCAGAGCTCTGGTCCCTGGAGCCCCTCCTGCCCAATGTCCACAGTGCTACCTTTACGCACTATTTCTTTTAAGCAGCCCTAGGACTACGTATTTACCAGCTGCGCTCTACACAGAGAGGAAGAGCCAGCTCCGCCCAGCCCACCCTGAGCCTTTGCAGTTATCGCCAAGGTTAGAAACCCACGAGCACGGATCAGATCCACAGCAGGCCTTACAATCGCCACAAAACTCTCTTCCATCACATGTCGATGCTTTGATGAATAAAATATAAATGTCTTAAAAGTACTACCTACTTATAGAATTTTGTCACCATGT